AATCGTTATGAAAAGCTACCTACCGCATCACTCACCAACTGCACAAACGACAAAAATTATGGCGGTGTATCTTTCCACGTTCTACAAGAAGATTCATTCTCATTTTGCACATTCTGTGAGTGTTGCGACGAGGCCCAAACACGTGAGAGATCAATGAAGAGATCGCCGAAATTCAATGTGCCACTCATAAAATAAGAACAAAAAAAACACGGTGAGGCCCAAACACGTGAAAGATTCATTCTCTCTATGCGCCTCGTTTGGAGAGACACTCACCGCACCACTCATAAAATCAAAATAAAAAAAAGGAGGGAATCGAGCTAATCAACAGATCTCCCTTGCGAAATTGGCCAAAGCTGCTCAACGGGATTACTTACTGCAGGCTATTGACGACCAGAACAGTATAAAGTACTTTCATTTGATTTGTTGTGTAATTGTAATATAATTTTATTTTATTTTTATTTATTTATTTTTAACAGAGCGACGGCCTTTAGATATCATCATCATCATTCAGGTGACCGGCCCCAGGCAGGCAATTCAGAACGAGTTTATTATTTTCATCTGAAGGTATCTGGATTTGAACTCGAGTCTGTGGGCCAAGTCCCACTTACCTGAATTCTCAATTCCCGACCTTCGATTAGCAAGATCGACGGCCAGAAATGAAGGATCAGCGTAAGTGGGACTTGGCCCTGTATGTCAACAGTTCAGTTCAGAGAGGGGGGGGTACCAACTGAGTCCTAGGCCCGTTGATCAATACCCGTATTCGACGGCGCCAGTATCCTCGTCCCCATCCCCCCCCCAAAAAAAAAAAAAAAAAAAAAAAAAAAAAAAAAAAAAAAAAAAGAGGGAAGACCTCCTTTTTGAGAGCAACACGAGGCGGACCGGAATCCCACAACACCAAATTGTCTCGCTGTTGAAAAAAAAAAAAAAAAAAAAAAAAAAAAAACTGTTTGCCGGCGGGAGATTTACCAACCTGGGAATTGCCCGGTGTGGTAGTGATGGCGCGGTGGAATCTCGATCCCTCAACCGGTGACTGCTTTCGATCTACGAGCGCCGCCACGTGTGCAGCGCAGCGAACACGTGGCAGCAGCGATCCCGACGCTGAGCTGTTGCGTTGTACAGGGACACGAGGGGACGATGAATCACAGGAGGAGCGTCTGGCTCGCTGCGCGCCAAGTCCACACCAGCTCGCCAAGCTGGCAGCTGCACACGTCCGCGTCGGCGGATGGAAGGACGACAACAATAATCCTTCCGCTCGTTTAGGACTGTCTCTTATACACATCTAGATGTGTATAAGAGACAGCACACACACACAGAGCTAAAGCTATGGTGCAACACACCTACTTGGACCATCTTCCGCCAGTCTCACTCAGCACTTGGTCGCACAAGACCACAGCAGTGCTTCCGCAACAGGCACAAGTGGAAAAGATGTTGGCGCCCACTATGCTTTTATATCCGATGCTTCAGCTTTCCAATCTCGGACTTTCCCAATTGGTACCCTCACTCAGTGGCCGCAGTAGCCCTCTGTCCCATCCGGAATGTCCCAATTGGTACCAGACTTGTCTCGGAACCTCTGGGCCGCCGGCTGGCCTGGGCTGGGCTGGACTGTACCATACTGGACCACCACTAACCTACCAGCCTACAGACTACTCAGCCTACCCAACCTCGGGGCTGGTACTTTATGGTACATGGGACTTGGGACTTGGGACTTGGGACCTTGGGACTAGGACTGGAAGAGAAACACTCGTCATACTCTTGAAACCCTTTCACAAACTTCAAATAACTTGGAATGACAAAATGAATGAGAATGCAGACTAGCTCACCGGAGGCAGCCCTGCACGTAAAGCTAGCTCAGCTGCTGCAAGGGCGGTCAGAGGTGTCAGCTCTGAAGGCTTCAGGACCACGGTGCAACCGACAGCCAATGCAGGCGAGACCTGCAACAACACAAACAAGAAGAAAAAGAAAAGAAAAAGAAAAAAAAAAAGATTGGGGTGAAAACTGGAGAACCTTACACAGATGAAGATTCATGGAAACTTCGGAGGTTGGTTGAAAACATATCTCATCTGCTGCTTTCACAAAGTTCAGAGAATCTTTTTTTTTTTTTTTTCCCTTGGTTTTTTTTTTTTTTTTTTTTTTTTTTTTTTTTTTTCCCCTTGGTTTTGCTCCACCTGATTTCAATGAAATTCAGGGAACCTTTTTTTTAAGCTTTTTTGGTCATTTTTTGATTTTTTTTTTTTAAGTTTTTTTCGGTCATTTTCATTTTTTGAGTTTTCTTTTAAGAGCTAGTGTCTTTGGTCTTGCACAAAAGGGGTTTTCTTATTTTCGTCTTTGTCCAGGCGCCCATGAAAATGAAAATGGCTTGAAGTCTAAATGGCACATAACTGGGCTCATTTTAGCGCGAAGATCAGGGACGTTGATTTGATTTCTGCACGATGGAGATGGTCCCGCCTGACTGACGATCAAGCTTCTAGAACATTTTTCTATTCTTAGGATGGTCATTTTTGCACAGAAAAAAAAAGGTACGAACAATTCCTTGCTAATGTTTTGCCCAAAATGGAAAAAGGGAAAAGAATTCAAAAGATATGTCCATACCAACTTTTCGAAGGGTGAAAAAAAAAAAAAGGAGCAGTGAACATACACGCTCATACAAGTCACACATTGCGCCTGATTCCCACGGAGTCACTCATATGGGCTAATAAGCACCAACAAAGCGATGGGGTAAGCGGCAGACATAGTTTCGCGCATTGATCGTATCGAAAAGACACAGCAATACTCCACGGCCTTGTGATCTCCGGATAAGCTCATCCGCCTACTGGCTCGCCCTAAACATGTTTCCTTTTCAAAGTTTTCCAACCAAATCCCAGGTTAGTGTGCACAAGGCCTTAAAAGCACAACAAGTACATCCAGCTATCAGCCGCAGGTGCCCATCAGAATCCGGTAGTCGACGCAGGCCACCAATTTTTACTTTATTTTAATCGAAGGCGTGCCTGCCCCATCTTTTTTGGAAGAAACTCGTAAGCGACGGGTTTCTTTTCAGCAAGGCCTCATTGATACGTAAGCGACGGGTTTCTTTTCAGCGGTTTAAAAGTTAAAACTTAAAAGTTCTTTTGAAACCACCAGTACGATTCCCGGCCATTTTTTCAGAGACAAGGAGTGCATGGTGCCGCGTTGGGCGGGAAGTACCAAGGTGCTGTTTAGCGGCACATCCATCCACGCAACACGGGTAGCATGCAAGACCCGTTTTACCAGGATGGATGTCCAGCGAAACGACGGCACCCCGGTGCCTCCCACGTGACACGGCAGCGTGCACACCTAGTGTCCAAAAAAAATGGCTGGGAATCGTACTGGTGGTTTCAAAAGTTCATGACCTCTTTATTAACCATCAAGCAGGAGGTACACAAGCTCAATCATCATTTGGATTACTTAAATTATACTCATTCACTGCTTGCCCTGCATCCGATTGAAGAGCAAAAACGCGGTTAAATAAATGCAATCCCTTGCCTGGAATGTTATGCCAGTTTCTTGGGCTTCACGGCTCTGCCACAGACGACCTCCGTGGAGTCCAAAATTTGAGCTGCTCCTTTCAAAAACAAAAAAAAAATCAAATTTGCATCCCATTTGATTTCTCGCTGACCCAGAACTACTTTCCGTTGCCGTTATATCTTTGTCATTGCCGTTGGAATGGACCCTTCCTTGTACGTGGAGGAGGGCAGTAGTATCATCGTCCGCAAAGGTAGGTTCTAAACGTGCCACGTCAGATCCCTGCCTCCCACTTCCCCCATGTCAAATCCCTCCCTCCCACTTCCCCCATGTCAGATCCCTGCCTCCCACCTCCCGCCTACGCCCCTGCTCCCGCTCCCGCCCCTGTCCACACCCCCCCCCCCCCCCCCCCCCCCCCCCCCCGCCCTCACCCTCACCCCCGCCCTCTGCCCTCTGCCCCCATTTCCCACCCCTGCCCCTGTTGCCGCTCCAGGGAGAAGAACCTGTGTTGACAGTTACCGTGGGCTTAGCACCGCTACCCATGGTAACTGTCAACCCATGGTAGCTGTCAACCTATGGTAACTGTCAACCCATGCAGGAAGCACCTTTTAAAGTGGGCTTAGCACCGCTACCCATGGTAACTGTCAACCCATGGTGGCTGTCAACCCATGGTAACTGTCAACCCATGCAGGGTGCACCTTTTAAAGTGGGCTTAGCACCACTACCCATGGCAACTGTCAACCCATGGTAGCTGTCAAGTTGTGTCAACCCATGGTAACTGTCAACCCATGCAGGGTGCACCTTTTAAAGTGGGCTTAACACATCCATGGTAGCGGTGCTAAGCCCACTTTAAAAGGTGCACCCTGCATGGATGGACTTAATATCTCACAGGGGCGACAGGGACGTAAAAGGGATTTTTGAATTACGGGAAATACACAATGATGGTTAGCTGTAAAGATAAAGGGTGAAGTGACGAATATTATTTTAAGACTGAGGAGGGGGAGATGCAGAGGGAGGGGGGGGGGGGGGTGTTGGATATCACGACCGGTATGGTTCCACTTTTAAACTGTGTCCTGGTTGTAGTAGTGGTTTAGACACTTGGCTCTTGTGGCCAAGGGTGCCAGTTCGAATCTGCGTGTGCACGAAGGAGGCCTGAGGCCCGATGTATGGATCTATAACTACTGTGGAAGTTCCCGTAGAACCCGCGAGCAATTTAATACCCGCGTGTGTGACCGGGCAATAAAGCAGTGGGGGTCGCGCACTGATTGGAGCGAAGTGTTTGAGAATTGCCGTTCCAGTCCGGTGTTGTGTATGGTGTGTGTGAGTTGAACGCTACCGCCGTGCAGGGGTGGGGTGGATATCCTGACCGGTGTGGATCCACTTTTGAAGTTTAAACACTGTGTCCTGGCTGTAGCGGTTAAGACGCTTGGCTCTTGTGGCCAAGGGTGCCAGTTCCAATCTGTGTGTGCACAGAGGAGGCCTGAGCCCGATGTACAGACCCATAACTTCTGAGAGGGACAGGTTTGAAGTCTGAACTTTTGAAAGGGAAAAAAAAAGAAAAAAAGAAAAAAAAAAGCAAAAGAGTCGAAAGACTTAAACGATGTCAGAAAAGAGTAAAGGCATCACAACATCAGTCTACGTCTGTGTTCCTTATTTATTTATTTTACTACTTTATAATAATTTTTTCAATTGTATAATCAAATATATTCGATTGCATTGACTTTTCTTCGTTGACTTCAATTGTCCAATCAATTGTTTAGAATTTCCTTGGTTGACTTCATTGTTAATAAGTTCATTGAACTCCATTCACAATTCCACAAGTCATGAGAAGTAAGGGCATGTAGCAACA